CTTTGTATTCTGCTATGCTAGAAATAACATTTCTAATGTAAGTATACAATGTAATTGTACTACTTCGACTGGTGGCCTTAAGTAGAGATGCTTCACTATTTAGGCTTCACGTACACTGGCAGCTCCTAAACTTGAGTTTTGGCACAAAATGCCAAAAAGCTAAATTCAAGTCCATAAAAGCCTATAGAGGGGATTTACTAACACAGAATCTGGTGCAGCTGTGCATAATAACCAATCAGCTTCTAACTTCAGCTTGTTCAATTAGGCTTTGGCAATAAAACCTGATTGGTTGCACAGCTGCATCAGATTCTGTGCGCTCCAGTTTTCGTATATCTCCCCCTATGTGTCTATGTACACATCGGCTCTTAGAAGATTTGGATCTGCCGCGTTTAGGTGAGGCTAAACCTCCCTCTCCTGAACACAGAAGAATCACGTTCAGGGTAGGAACGTTTTGACCGCCGGCCATGGGAAAATGCAAAATCGTGGTTTCGGGTTGCCTTAGACATCAATCAGAGCAGAACCTGCAGTCATTGATACATGCTAGGCATTATGAAGCTATCTCAGTGATCAGAGCGTGTAGCAGAAGGAAGTTTTCTGGTACCCTTCATGGCTCTGGAATGTCATATGATTGAATCTACAGATCTAAAAAGGATCCTGATGCTGGTAGATGTGAAAATGGTGTCACAAGGCCACAAAGATTACACTTGCTGCTTTCTTATATAGAAAGAGAGTAGTCAGTGACTAATGCTATGATGTATATACAGTATCTCACAGAAGTGAGTACACCCCTCACTTTTTTGTAAATATTTTATTCTATCTTTTCATGTGACAACACTGAAGAAATGACACTTTGCTACAATGTAATGTAGTGAGTGTACAGCTTGTATAACAGTGTAAATTTGCTGTCCCCTAAAAATAACTCAACACACAGTCATTAATGTCTAAACCGCTGGCAACAAAAGTGAGTACACCCCTAAGTGAAAATGTCCAAATTAGGCCCAATTTTCCCTCCTTGGTGTCATGTGACTCGTTAGTGTTAGAAGGTCTCAGGTGTGAATGGGGAGCAGGTGTGTTAAATTTGGTGTTATCAGTCTCTCTCTCTCTCATACTGGTCACTGAATGTTCAATATGGCACCTCATGGCAAAGAACTTTCTGAGGATCTGAAAAAAAAGAATTGTTGCTTTACATAAAGATGGCCTAGGCTATAAGTAGATTGCCAAGTCCCTGAAATTGAGCTGCAGCACAGTGGCCAAGACCATACAGCGGTTTAACAGGACAGGTTCCACTCAGAACAGGCCTCGCCATGGTCAGCCAAAGAAGATGAGAGCACATGCTGAGCATCATATCCAGAGGTTGTCTTTGGGAACTAGACATATGAGGTTGAAGGGGTGGGGGGTCAGCCTGTCAGTGCTCAGACCATACACCGCACACTGCATCAAATTGGTCTGCACGGCTGTCGTCCTAGAAGGAAGCTTCTTTTAAAGGTGATGCACAAGAAAGCTTGCGAACAGTTTGCTGAAGACAAGCAGACTAAGGACATGGATTACTGGAACCATTCCAGTAATCCATGTCCTGTTGTCTGATGGGACCAAGATAAACATATTTGGCTCAGATGGTATCAAAATTGTGTGGTGGCAACCAGGTGAGGTGCACAAAGACAAGTCTGTCTTGCCTACAGTCAATCATGGTGGTGGAAGTGTCATGGTCTGGAGCTGCATGAGTGCTGCTGGCACTGAGTAGCTACAGTTTGAGGGAACCATGAATGCCAACATGTACTGTGACATACTGAAGCAGAGCATGATCCCCTCCCTTCAGAGACTGGGCCTCATGACAGTATTCCAACATGATAACGACCCCAAACACACCTCCAAGACGACCACTGCCTTGCTAAAGAAGTTGAGGGTAAAGGTGATGGACTGGCCAAGCATGTCTCCAGACCTAAACCTTATTGAGCATATGTGGAGCAAATGGAAGGTGGAGGAGCACAAGGTCTCTAACATCCACCAGCTCTGTGATGTTGTCATGGAGGAGTGGAAGAGGACTCCAGTGGCAACTTGTGAAGCTCTGGTGAACTCCATGACCAAGAGGGTTAAGGCAGTGCTGGAAAATAATGGTGGCAACACAAAATATTGACACTTTGGGCCCAATTTGGACATTTTCACTTAGGGGTGTACTCACTTTTGTTGCCAGCAGTTTAGACATTAATGGCTGTGTGTGTTGAGGACAGCAACTTTACACTGTTATACAAGCTGTACACCCACTACTTTACATTGTAGCAAAGTGTAATTTCTTCAGTGTTGTCACATGAAACGATATAATAAAATACTTACAAAAATGTGAGGGGTGTACTCACTTCTGTGAGATACTGTATCTCCCTTCTGCCTGTTCAGATGTGTGATCTTGGCCTTCCAGCAAGACTTCCTTTGCAGTCCTCTACACACATTACATGTGTTGCTGAGTGCACTTCATTTCAGAAGGTACCCGAAAGCACCAAAACAATGCAACTGTTTTGCTGTGCGCCACAATGCACAACAACACATGGTAATGCAGTGCGGTGCACTGTGTTCCAAATATTATGACATGTCTGATTGTTGACACACTTTGGCGTTGATTTACTAAAGGCCAATAGACAGTGCGCTCTGCAAGTACAGTTACTCCAGAGCTTAGTAAATGAGGGAAAGCATCACTTTGCAAAGAATACCCAATCACCTACAAGGAAAATAAAAAAAAAAAACCTGCATATTTGCGTACACATGATTGGATGATGGAAGTCAGCAGAGCTTCTGCACATTTACTAAGCTCCAGAGCAACTGCACTTGTAGAGTGCACAGTCCGTTTGCCTTTAGTAAATCAACCCCTTTGGGTGCAATGGGAACCGTTATTTTAAATGAGCTTATTTGATGGAACACATGACATGTCATAACATGCGTTATTGTACAGAAAAACCCTAAACAAGCCCTCAGTCAGGTAACATTTAAGAGCCAAAAAAAGAGGTCAGTGCAGTGTTGTGGCGACAGGTGTGAACAGGGTGTAGGTAGCTAAGTAATTTCAAGCAGCAGTCACTGATTGCAGGTCCAACTGTAATCAAGGGCTGAATGTGGTAGTATCTCCATTGCAGACAACAAATCAGTATATTCTTTTTGCCCTAGTCCACCCTTGGGCTCTATACTGCCACCTACACTGAGAGTAGAGTACAGGTACTTTAAAGTGTTACTAAACCCATGACTGTGCATTCACTATATCTGGTCTCCCACAGTACACAGAACATGGAAGTGCTATTATTTTAGTAAATCTAACCTGCTAAATACCTTTTTTCATCAGCAGTTAGAGCAGTCTTGTGACTTCTATCAGTGTCCAGCAGAGCACATGTTAAAGCTTGTAGGAGGAGTTTTCATTCTTCTCTAGGAGGATGCAGAACCCCTGACCTGTCTGGACAGTGCTGATTGGCCCTGTGCTGATCACATGCACTCTCCCAAGGAAAAAAAAAACTCTCTAGCAATACATACCAAACTGAGCATGTGCAGTGTGATTCGACACAATATGTCTTATCAGGAGAGAAGAGGGGGACACTGGAAGAAGGGGAGGATCAGAGCAGTCAGGATCAAACAGTCTTTTAACACAGTGAAGAGGATTAACCCTTATTAACCCCCTGCATATACAGACTGATTTTACTGTTGTGGGTTTAGTAACATTTTAACTTAGGATTTGTGTTTCAGATCAGTATAAGTGTACTAGGAATATAGGTCAAGGCAGATAACACATATACTTTTACATTCACTTGGCTTTATGTCATTTCTTGGGAAAATAAAATTGTCATCCATATCTTTATTAAGAAATTGATTTTTTTTTTGTCTTTTTTTCATTACTGCTCTGATGGTCTCATCTCAATGTAACACTAGTAACAGCATGTGTTATTTTGCTGTGCAGAATCGACAAGCTGAAATATGATCTACATCTGCTTTTAGGGAGCAGTTGGGGACAGCTGTTGATTTTGTATTGTGCATGTGAACATCTGCTCATTCAAATGAGCATAATCAGGTGCAACTGGAAGAATGTTATCTCATAGTAGTCCTACTCTATCAGTATAAGCATTTATAAAGTTACTCAAAAAAAAAAGGCTAGCTGATTTACTAATTTTTAGTATGAGATGACCGCAGCAGTGAAGCACTTTATTTGCTAAACAATGAAGGAAAAAAGAGACTATGCCCTACTTGGAGTGTTCTTTAAGCTGGAAAATCTCTGTGCAGGCTGAGGATGGGAGTGTATTAAGTCACAGCCGGCATGCTCTGTAAACTGAGTGTTTTGGAACCAATCTTTATTAAATCTTTATTTGCTAGAAAAAAAATAAAATAAAAAGCATAATAATTGCTTAAGAATTCCCCTTTAAGCAAAACATTTAAAAACACCATTCATATTCTATCCGTAGTTCAGATATAAACCACAATTTTTTCAAGGACCTAAAATAGTAAACATTTTCACAAATACTGTTCAAATTGTGTATGTGTTACATTTCATAGTTACCATATCACACATTAGGTTAAAGAAAAAAAGAAAGCAAAAAAAAGGTGAAAAGGAGTAATAGAGAAATGAAGTTGCATCAAAAGCGTTAGTTCAAGCAGGGACTCTTGAATCTGCTTTAGATTATATTTGTCAGGGCTTTCATTAGCTATGTGTTTTATAGGTTATTTACATTAAATTAAAGCCACAAGCTGCAACATTTGGCAGACTCATACTGTGAAACAAATTTTAAAATTGGAAGTCTTATTCCTGGCTTGTGTTGTGCATGTACAGTGTATGTTGTAACACAAACCACAGAGTTGGCATTCCAGTTCATGTTTTTATTGTTACACAATATGCCAGACTAAGTCTCTTAAGTAATCCTTAAGTAAAAGTATGTAAGTCTCTTACATTCCGTTACTTTCTCATTACTTATACTGGATCAGGCCCATAAACACTCTCCATCTGCATATGTATAGCAAAGATGCTGTTGTTGGGGTCCTCAGGAGGACAATCGACATAATCTGTTTAGGCGTTGCATCTGGTGGTCCTCTTGCTGTGTCCATGGCCTGATGTAACTATTTGGGGAGAGCAAGATTCTGTTTAGCGTACGCTCATGGTTCACATGTCTTGAAGGCATCATTATATATTCTTGATTATCTTCAAGTTTGGGACAGTCACACTGGTTTGATACCCAAACATATTCACGGTGTACAAGAGGAAACTTGTTTTTAAATACGTGCTTCACATGTATGTCGTACCGTGTCTCCAGACCGATTTTTCTGCTCCCCATAATCTTGCCACGGATCACTACACACAGGGTGAGTAGGAAATTAGCAAACATAACTACATTTTAAAGATTTTCTTTAAAGAAAAATGTATTTTCAACAGAAATATTATGTTTCCCAAAACACTGAAATTAGTTAAAAGCAAATACTGTATCTGTATTACTGCTATAGATGTAGATTCATGATTGCATTGTAAAATTGGCAAATCTTGCCTATGAATATCATTATGTCATTCAGGGCTTTCTAAATTATATGTTATCAAAAATGTTCATTTAAAGTACAAACCTAAGGGCAAAACAATTTTTTCGTTTTGGATGGAGTGGAGAGGGATAAGAACCCCTGTCAGGTTTTTATTGCTGTCTGTGCCCCAATTAGGGAGATTCAGCTTATTTGTTTTGTTTACCATTATCATTGAAAGTCAAACGAAAAGAAAACTCCAAATTTTGAGTTGTCACCAGAAAAGTAAAAAAGAGAGCAAAATTTTCAAATTGGGATACTAGTTCAGGTGACCTGGGGGTCCCTAAGGAATTCCCTTAATTTGCAGAGATTTTCTCACTTGTTTTGGCTATGGGAAAGTAAGTGAGGGTAAATTGCACCAATGGGACACAGAAAAAATATATTGATACGAGTTATAACCATTCCCTACTAGTTAAATCCATTTCAAAGTTAATTTGCACTATAAAACATTAGCCATTTTCTATATTGTTCAGTTCATTGAAGTAAAAGTACTTGGTAATCCAATTTTCCTTCTACATCCAGTATCTTCAGGTCTAGTGTCATGGTAGCTTTTGACAGGCATGCACATTACCTGCAGCAATGTGAACAGCAGGCAGTCCTACATGATGACCCCAACATCACCAGTACTGGTGGGATAGTATGGGAAGAACCATGCCCCGCTGTCCCAGCACATTTACTCCAGAGCTGCTGTGGTCACATGGCCAGTACAAAATAGAGCTTGGAAAATGTATTAGGATATTTCTCAAAAGAGAAAATATAAAACATTTTGTATTTTTTTCCTTACTGAGAAAACAATGTCAGGAATATGTTAGCTACTTTCAAAGGAGTTCACATAAATTGAATTAATCACAGAAGATTAATATCTATTTAAAATTCTAAATGTAGTCAAATTCTCTTTTTTATTGTATATGCAAAACAGATATATACACTGCTCAAAAAAATTAAAGAAACACTTTGAAAACACATCAGATCTCAATGGGGAAATATATCATGCTGGATATCTATACCGATATAGACTGGGTAATGTGTTACGAATGCAAGAATGCCCCATCGTTTGATTGAAATGAAAATGATCAACCTACAGGGGACTGAATTCAAAGACACCCCAAAAATCAGTGAAAACATGATGCAGCAGGCTAGTCCATTTTGCTGAAATTTAATTGCAGCAACTCAAAATGGTACTCAGCAGTTTGTATGGCCCCCGCATGCTTGTATGCATACCTGACAATGTCGGGGCATGCTCCTAATGAGACGACGAATGGTGTCCTGGGATATTTTCTCCCAGATCTGGACCAGGGCATCACTGAGCTCCTGGACAGTCTGAGGTGCAACCAGGAGGCGTCAAAATGGACCAAAACATGATATCCCAGATGTGTTCTATTGGATTTACGAGCATGGGGGCCATTCAATGGTATCAATTCCTTCATCCTCCAGGAACTGCCTGCATACTCCCACCACATGAGGCCGGGCATTGTCATGCAACAGGAGGAACCCAGGACACACTTCACCAGTGTAGGGTCTGACAATGGGTCCAAGGATTTCATCCCGATACCGAACGACAGTGAGGGTGCCATTGTCTAGTCTGTGCGTCCCTCCATGGATATGCCAGCCAAGACTATTACTGGCTCTCATCAAAGCGGTCATGCTGGACGATGTTACAGGCAGCATACAGCTTCTCCAGACCCTCGAACATCTGTCACGTGTTCAAGGTGAACCTGCTCTCATCTGTGAAAAGCACAGGGCATCCAGCTCTATGGTGCCGGGCAGTGAGCACAGGGCCCACTAGAAGACCCTCAGGCCACCCTCATGAAGTCTGTTTCTGATTGGTCAGAGACATTCACACCAGTGGCCTGCTGGAGGTCATTTTGTAGGGCTCTGGCAGTGCTCATCTTGTTCCTCCTTGCACAATGGAGCAGATACCGGTCCTGCTGATGGGTTAAGGACCTTCTAGGGCCCTGCCCAGCTCTCCTAGAGTAACTGCCTGTCTCCTGGAATCTCCTCCATGCTCTTGAGACACAGCAAACCTAGCAATGGAATGTATTGAAGTGCCATCCTGGAGAAGTTGGACTGACTGTGCAACTGCTGTAGGGTCCAGGTATCGCCTCATGCTACCAGTAGTGACACTGATCCTAGCCAAATGCAAAACTAGTAAAAACAGTCAGAAAAGATGAGTAGGGAAAACAAATGTCAGTAGCTTCCACCTGTAAAACCATTCCTATTTTGGGGGCCGTCTCATTGTTGCCCATCTAGTGCACCTGTTGTTAATTTCATTAACACCAAAGCAGCTGAAACTGATTAACAACCCTCTCTGCTACTTAACTGATCAGATCAATATCCCAGGAGTTTAAATTGACTTGAAGCTATACTCTGATTAAACAGTGTTCCTTTAATTTTTTTGAGCAGTGTATTGCTCAATACCCCAGGATACTTCATATTCAAAATGGAACCCACAGTGTTTACTAAAGTAATGGCAGTATAATTGTTGAATTTGGACTTGTTAGTCAACATACTTCTAGAAAACTGCTCTAGAATTTGTTGACACACATGTACGGGTCACATTAAGGTGTCTATTTATGACAGTCGGGCAAAGTCAGGTAAATTTGCCTGCTGTGATAAACCTGCATATATTGGCACATAATGTAAAACCATTCAAAAACTAATTAATGTAAAGCTGTAGTAAATGTTATGTTACTATGGGTGAATCCTTGGCAAATCATTAGTAAATGTCATATGGAAGAGGGAACATAACTTTGAATGTGAGTGTAATCTATGGCTCCAAGGCTCATACAGTAGGTTTTCAGTCAGCTGGGACATTGGTTTGTACTTTTCCTTGTTTGCAGCTCTAGGTTCTCCTTGGAAAGTTCCTTCTAGCAACCCCATTATTAATCAGTGGCCCATTAAGACCACAAATTACTGGTGTGGGACAACTATCAGCACTATTTTAGCAATATTTGCATATTGCATTTCTCCTGTATTCAGAGATCCCAAGGCATTCAAACATGTTTGTAAGTGGAATATTTTGTCTTGGTACTATCTTTGTAAGATTAATGTATAGGAAGGTGCACTCTTAAAGAGACATTTGGAACAGTCTCCTATAGCATAATGTGTAAAGTATTTTATTTTCCAACCATCATTTACTAATGTCTACAGCTGAAAAGGGTGAATTCAATTTATTACAATTTTATTGCACAGACCAGACTAATTTACTGCATGTGCATATTATCACCTGCTGCTGTACTTAAACCGGGTTTTGCCACAAAATTGCCATGAAATTGCCCTTCAAGTTTGCCTTGCAGAACTGGTGTATTTTTGGGAGGTTATTTATTTTTATGATACTTTTTTACTTTTTTTTTTTTAATCACAGCATGTTTGATCATGCATGCATGCTGCAAAGAAAATACATTCCCTAAATGAACAAAAGGAAATTGAGGAATTTTTTTAATTTAGAGGACAGAAAAAAAGTCACTGGGTCCTTGAAAATTTTCAAAAGACAGTACACTTTTAATTTTTTACTTTATTTTGGTATACTTTTATTGTAATGTTAAACATCACATAATAACAAAATACACCAAGAAAATAAAAAAAGCGAAATGTCTCTAAATGTTTCAAGTTGCTAACCATTGGAAATGTGTTTTTTTTTACCTAATATCTAAAAAAAAAACAAAAAAAAACACCCCAATAATATAGTTAAAAACATTCAGAACACACCGAAAAACATTCAAGAGCTTTTTTATGCACCTAAAACCACCTAACCTACCCCACTGACTATTGCTGTTCACCTAAAGTGCATTTAGTTAATTTTACTTATGCCTAGATATAACACTTTAAAATACCTTTAGCTTGAGGATAGCAGAGAAAGGTACTATTTCTGGTGGAATTAAAGTACTGCTTCATAGCATTTAACATTATAATGTAGAAACTGCCCTACTAAAACTCACTAACGATCTACTAACAGCTAAAACCAATGGCCACTACTCCGTACTCTTACTACTTGACCTCTCTGCGGCTTTTGATACTGTTGACCATCCCCTCCTCAAATAAAAACTCCACTCTCTTGGCTCTCTCCTAGTTCTCCTCCTACCTATCGCAGCGCTCCTTCAGCGTTACCTATAATGCTGCCTCCTCCTCTTCACTCCCTCTTTCTGTAGGGGTCCCTCAAGGTTCTGTCCTTGGACCCCTTCTCTTCTCCATCTACACCTCCTCCCTTGGTCACTTGATAAACTCCCATGGCTTTAAGTACCATCTCTATGCTGATGACACACAAATGTTTCTACCCCTCACCCCTTCAGTCTCCTCTCGCATTACTAACCTACTAAGTGACATATTGGCATGGATGTCACTCCACTTCCTCAAACTCAATCTTTCCAAAACTGAGCTCTTAGTATTCCCCCAGCCCATGCCCCCTCCCCTGACTTCTACATCAAGATCAATAACCCAATCATCAGTCCCTCCCCTCATGCCAGGGTACTAGGTGTAATCCTAGACTCCCATCTGTCCTTTAAGTCCTAAATCCATTCACTGTAAAATCTTGTAGACTTCACCACCGCAACATCTCCAAGATACGCCCGTTCCTAACCTCGGAAACCACTAAGCAACTTATTCACTCCCTTGTTATATATCTCGCCTTGACTATTGTAACTCCCTCCTCATTGACCTACCTAATCGCAGGCTATCCTCTCTTCAGTCTATCATGAATTCTGCTGCCAGACTCATCCACCTTACTAACCGTTCTGTATCTGCCACCCCTCTCTGCCAATCCCTCCACTGGCTTCCCATTGCCCAATGGATAAAATTCAAAACATTAACAATAACGTATAAAGCCATTTATAACTCTGCCCCAAATTACATCACCAATCTTGTCTCTAAATATCACCCAAACCGTACTCTCCGCTCCTCACAAGACCTCCTACTCTCTAGCTCACTTGTCTCCTCCTCCCATGCTTGTCTCCAGGACTTCTCCAGAGCTTCCCCCATCCTCTGGAACTCTCTACCCCAATTTATCAGACTATTGCCTACTCTGCTCACTTTTAGGCGATCGCTGAAAACCTCTCTCTTCAGGGAAGCCTATCCTGCCCTCAGCTAATAATGGAATCTTCTACTCTTCCAACCAGTCCATCCCCCACAGTTACTACCTTTTGTACCACTAGCCCCTCCCTCCTAGATTGTAAGCTCCAAGGAGCAGGGCCCTCCTATCCCTCTTGTATTGAACTGTATTGTTGCTGTATTGTCTCCCGTTATATTGTAAAGCACTGAGCAAACTGATGGTGCTATATAAATCCTGTATAATAATAATAATAATAATAAATGATAATAAATATGTCATCCACACAAAATAATTTATATTTCAAAATTAGCAATTTCATTTAATTCTATTAGTAATGGCTGTATGAAAATGTTTGCTCCATAATCATACAACTGTAATTTTGTCAAATTCGTTCTATTCTAAACCAAACACCAAGTTTGTCAACAAATTAGAGACAAGAAGTGCACCTGATGGGGTACTTGCTGTATTCACTGCCATAAATACAGTATGTGTATATAAATATATATATATATACCAATATATATATATACACACACACACACACAAACACATATATACAAACACACACTGTGGAGTATGTATGTATTTTCCATAAGCCTTTTTAACCAAATTTCTACAAAGTCGGGGGTCAATACGCCGGGTGTTGTGCTGAAACCTTACCTGACTTCCGAGGGACGCTATGTCTTCGCAGCAGTGACGATATGATCACTGCAGAACTGCATGATTTTCAGTTTGAGCTTGACAGTATGTGCAGAAGCGTATACCCGATGTGTATCCCTTCTCTGCATATCACAGTTTCAGTCAAGCTCAATCGAGCACTGAACGGCTGCATCCGACGTCTCATGCAGTTCTGTGAGGAATGGTGATATCGTCTACTGCTGCCGAAGACATAGAAGCGTCAGCTAGGCAGTACCTTGCAGGAAATACGGTAATTAACATTAATTATATATATTAATAACTGTGGCAGTTCTCAGATCATCTTGGAGACAGGGAGGGCTGGGCAGGCAGGGAGAGCTACCCACCCAATATAGTGTGCACAGAAAATACACATCGCTTGCCGTGTTGGTGGTAGTATACGGCGAGTATAGCCCAAAGCCTATATTTTAACAGGAAAAGTAGGGGGGTCGTCTTATACGCCCAGTCGTCTTATACGCCGGAAAATATATATATATATATATATATATATATATATATATATATATATATATATATATATATATATATATACACACACACACACATATACACATACTGTATATATACACAGTATAGTATATACAGTATATACCAGTATAATGAAACAAAAAGGCTTTTAGGGGTTAAAAAAAAATCTCAATTCTGATAATGAATGAGAAAATAACAAAGGCAGCTAAAATAGTTTATGCTTTATGCTGCTTAGAGCATTGACCCTTATGATTATTATGGTTTATGACCACATTACTCATAGAAAGGAAATGACTGTAAAATTAGTTTTTACAATGTTTGCTCTTACCAAAATCACTCTGGCAGTAATGCTTCTTCCTTTGGGATTTTCTTTTGAATGGTACACACTTTTCACACCCTTCTTTAAAAAAAACAGAAAATTTTAATTCCCCAACAACATAATTTAAAAAGATTACCAAGGAAACATAACTATCAGTCATGAAAAATAAACCATACTAGAACCCATTCAAACCACATATACAGATGTGTTCTGTAATTTTATTTTTTTTAATGGGTCAAATTAAAATTCCCTAGCGTGTAATGGATTACTGTTCTAAACCTAGGCTGCCAGATATTATGTAAAAATTAGACTAGTACTGAACAAATATATATAGCCAGGTACTGCTGCAGCCAGAGGAGTGGGCTGTGCATCCCTGCATCCATTCTCCTCCTTCACCTTCCCACTGCTGGGCTCTATTTGACAGGACCGTTGTACCGCTGGGCTGCAAGTTAAGGAGTCTCACGCCTGCTTTTATCCCCTCCCTAGAAGCTGCATTTTGTTCGGGGCAGGCTCTGTGTGTCCTCCCCCACTCACTCTTGCCCCTCTACTGCCTAGCAGCAGTGGCTTTAGACCAATATGTGGCAGAGAGGATTTATCATGCAGCCACAATGGATTCTGGGAGATGTAGTCTGTAAAGGGGCACTGCACAAAACAGGTGAATGACGGCTACTGACTGTAGGACTTTAATACCCAGGATTACCTGCAGGGCCAAGAAAAGGGGTTGGCAGGAGATGAGACTGCCCTGGGCGCAATGGTTTACTGTAGGGATAGGGGCACCTTCATTTTGTTACAAGGCTGACAGAAGTAGTGATAGCAGCAGTGATTTTGACAAGAAGTGAGTGACTGCTGGATATAGGATCCCCTAAGCTTGCACATCATGAATGGGGGGTGGGGGGGTGCTGTTTGACATCTTTGCCCTGGGCACTGGATGACCTTGGCCCAGCACTGATTTCATGTGTCAAGAGGAGATATACAGTATTTTACCAGGCAAATTACCAGAGTTCGGGGAGAACAGCATGAAGAGGGAGAGAGTGCAAACCTTTGCTGGGGTCTGCACAGAATACCAGCCATATGTGGGATAGCCAGTACATGTAGACCTTTGCTGTGCTTGCTTACATACAGACCAGCACCTGTGAGCACCAGAATGAGAGACAAAGCCACAGAGAGAGCCACTGTGTCTTAGAACCTGAGCTGGCGAGACCTATTTCCGTGTGAAACTGCATCAGAGAGAGCCTGATCATGAGGTCTAAGACTTCTAGGACAATTGATCGCCAGGTGTACTGGAACTGACCCATTGCATACTGGGAGTGGTGAGTGAAACTACAGAGCTTAATCCCTTACTGCCCAAAGATGGCATAAAGACTGATCCGTACTTAACAGCCCATTAGCTTTCAATTGCTTTAAAGGGACAACTTTACATGCACCTCCTTTCCGAAGGGCCCCAACAACAGTTGGCTAATCTCGACAATTAGGTGCCAGGTATTTTAACCAGCACCAGGAGTACTCCTTTGCCAGCAGCGCATATACCCATCCGCTATTAGGGCTGTATGTGTTGAGCGCACCTAGGAACATTGTTTAAGTAGCTATTGCAAAGAAATACAATGAGCTTTCCTTTATGCTATTCTTGCAGATACTGTATAGACTAGTGTAATGGGGTTAGCCTTATTTCATCACAAGTTAATGGCCATAGGTGAGGCTAACCTGCCCATCAGTTAAACTAACATATTCTGTTGTCCTGTTTATTTGTTCTATGCATTGCATTTGCTTACCCTTCAATAATGCATTCACCTTATTAATCCTCAGGTTGCGTGTGGTCTATTTTCTTTGTGTGGTAGTAGAATAATCATGCTTAAGCTACACAGGTGTGAGTAACCAAGTGTGTCAGTGGAGACTGAGTGGCTTCAGGAGTCGAGGCAGAAATTAGAAGACCCAACAAACCAAGTGGCTCATGCAGGGGTAACACTGCATATATTTTTGTATTTGTTTCATATTTACCACTTGCAGTTAACAAATAGTGTACATGCTGCTAGAGCAATTTTATGCTCCAAAGCAAACATACCAGTGTGTATTTCTGACACAAATTCAACACTTGCAGGGTGTCAGATCCTCAAACTTTTGGGTTGCCTACAGTGCCATACCCCCTAGTCTCTACACCATCAAATTTTCTGCTACAAGTTCAAAATTCTTCAATGATTAGTACTGAAAGCTGATAAAAAGTAAGCCTTTAACCATTATTGATTATGTCATAGTATTCAGTGCCGAATATTTTTGTACTTGCTGCAAAAACGATTATGTAGGGGCTGGGGGGAGGCATTTCAGGAGGCATCTCACTTCCAGAAGGGTTGATTTTCTGGCAGAATCTCAGCACTGATATATTTGCCTATGAGTCTCAAGTTGCCAGTCTGTGTTTTACTTATCAAGATAGAAGGTAGGGACAGACTGAACAAAACTCTGGCTCACTCAGCATCGCTGTTGTTTGGGGCAGTAATTTAGGAGGGGCATTGTCAGAACACTGGAGAGCCAGGCTGATACTTTGTGTCAAAGAGCTGTCGGCTGATTCTATGTGCTGCCAACACATGTTCATCCTTGCTGAAGCACCTAGCAGTTAGTAAAAGAGCCCCATATGTATTACTGCCTATGCAGCTTGACTGCATTACAGTAATAAATAGTGAGGGTTCAATTTGGCTTTAAAAAATCATCATATACAGTATATTTTTCTAAATACAAGCAGTGTATGTAGCTAAATTTGCCTTGGTTTCAGCCTCTAGTGGTTCATGTACAAGCAGCAAAAATACCTAATCATATGTTGTCAAGGAACATGCTGATAAAAGCAGAAAGCTGAATGACAGAGAGATGAGCTTATCAGTGTGCTGTTTCTCCTTTAACCACTTGCTTACCAGGCACTTAAATAAAGTTTTTTTTGTTCCTACTATAAAATTTTGCAAACAGGTAATTTTTCTCCTTCACTGATGTGCGTTGATGAGGCTGCATGGATAGGCAGCACTGATGAGGTGGCACGGAAGGCAGCACTGATGGGCACTGATAGGTGGCATTGATAGGTGGCACTCATGAGCTGGCACTGATGGGCAGCACTGATGGGTGGTACTGACTGGTGGCACTGCTGGACATTGATGGGTGGCACTGCTGGGTAGCACTGATGAATCACACAGCTAGGCACGGGTGGGTGGCACTGCAGGGCACAGGTGGGTGGCACTGATGGGCACAGGTGGGCGGCACTGATGGGCACTGATGATCAGTGCAGATCACTTCTCTGACAATTGCTGGTTATCGGCAGTACATTCCTCATGCTGTGACAGCGTGAGGAAAGTGCAGCCGATAACGAGCAACTGTATTTACACGGATATCTGCTGTGTCATTGGACACAGCTGATCACGTGGTATAAGGCCGCTGTGATTGGCCATTTATTGTATCATGTGATCAGCTGTGTCTGTAGGACATGCAGGGGGCACGCAGGGGGTGTGTTCTGGGAGGACGTCCATGGACGCCCTCCCAGAACTAGACAAACGCGCTGTAGCCGTCTTTCGGGTATAGCACGGTAGGGAATCTGTTAAGCTGCCCATAGATGGATCAAAATTCAACTGGTTCATCGGGAACCCGAAGATGTGTGGCCACTCCTGCTCGACAGAAATAGACTTATCCATCAATTTCTGTCTAATGACCTTGTTGAAAAAAATTTCCTTGATCAGCAGCTGCAGCCAATAGGCAGCAGCTGCTTATCAGTGTATTCTGATAGCAGAAAGTCCCTGCTGTCACAATACAATGACTCAGTGGGGAGGATTCCTCTACCCACCTCAGTTGAGTGGATAAATTAATCCTCTATGGCCAGCCTTACTTCCCAGTGCCAGGCTGGGGCCTGGGAGGAGACCTGTAGGAATTATTCAACTTCAGTTTAGAAAAAACATCAGGTCTCCTTCCCTCTCAGACAGCACTTTCCTGGTGGTAGAGCAGTTTTAATTTCAGAACTAAATGGGCAGAAAGACAAGTCCTTTGGTGAGTAAAACAGCTTCCTTATACAGTATAATTTATCAATATATTTAGCAGTTTGCCTGATGTCCAGCTTCAAGAAAAAGTGGCTTGCACTATACTATTTGTTGTGTTCGTTCAATACACTGTTATGTGTATATTCATTATATAAACAATATGAAGGTCTGTATAAATGAAAGTGTTATTGAGGTACCTGTTTTTACATTGGAAGGATCATCTAGCTTTTTTTCTGTCTCCATTGTGTTTCCATCACTCCCAGATGCAGGCGTACGTACCCAGGCATCCAAAGCTGAATCCTTGGGATGCTGTGGAGCTTGTATTTGTGAATCCCTCTGGATGCTAAAGTACTTGTCCTTTGGTAGCCAGTATTCATATTCAATGCCTGGGTTCTGCACCTGAAAGAGAACCTGAAAATGGTATTGTAAGTAGATTGTAGGTCAAAGGCTAGTGTGCATACTGCAACTACTATGATTGTATGGTTCAGTAGAAATAAATAGTGAAGAAGGCTTCTCACCAGAATATATAAGTCCTCATTTGAAGGTCCTGGTGCTTCTAGGAACTCATGACTGCCATTATGACCATAACGAACCTCTGTACCTGCTACCCTGTAAACTCCTGGCCTGGACATGGCCCAATTTCCATTGATCTCATAACCCTTGCTCAGGCTCATCAGGGCTAAGGCAAATATGGAAGTGGCAGCTCAATATGCAGAACTGTACAATACATGAACATTAGACAGAAAGGGTTCCTATTTTTTTAGAACATTTAACAGGTTTGGCTTGACATAAAATTTGTACAGAAAAAAAAGGCAGATTTTAAAGGGAATGTTTAATTTTTGTTTTAGTGATGGTCAAGTTTAAAAAATAAATTTTTTTACAAATTTGTTTTTAGGTAAACATGAATCAGTGAATATTAACCTTTTGACGCCCGCCACATGCATATATGCAGCTGCTCAGTGTGTGGGCCTTAATGCAGAGAGGCCGCATATATGTGGCCTTGTTAACTACTAACTGTGCTGAGAGCACGCTCCCTGCAAGCTCCCAGCACAGTAGCAGGTGGTGATCGGTAAGCTCCCAATCCATACTTGCGATCGGGAGCTTTCCAAACATGTGACCGCTGTAACAGCCAATCACAGCGATCACATGACCCAAAGGCCCTTCTCCACCTCCTGGCTTTTAGAACCCTTAAAGGGTCGGGAGGCAGCCAGCGCAAAGGGGTTTAAAATGGAACATTGTCTTTTAGAGCCATCAATTCAAATTGTATGGTCTTTATCATGCTTAAAAGACACTTTTTTTCTGTGATGAAAGAAGCCCGTTGTTTATAGAAATCAAATGCTCAAACTGAAATGTATACACACAAGTGAAAAAGACATCAGGGCAGGGATTCCTTCCTTACTGTATAGCTTAGCTTCAATCACAGAAATTGTTCTGTACCACAGGCAGAAACTGATAGACTGTCTCTTTACCTAACTCATGGTGCTCTGTGAACCTTTATGTATTAAATGTTTTTTTTTTATAAAACAAAGACTGTATACAGATAACAAAAAATAAAAAAAATAAAACAAAACAACAACTTAAAACATAAAAAAAACCAAGTTACATAAAATTGATCAAAAACAGCTGATTTTCCCTTTAAAGAGAGAATGTCAGACTGAATACACAATTTAGAATTGTGAGGCTATCTAACTATTCAGGAACAAAAGGAAACACACAGGCAGAAAAGGAAACTTTGACAAAAATAAGAATTTTATACTCACTGTAAAATCCTTTTACTGGAGCCCATTGAGGGACACAGAAAATCTATAAACTTAGGGTTATACTGCAACCTACAAGGGTATTGGACACTGTCAGATGCTAAAAAAAAAAAAACTGTAGGCCAGCCAAGGATAACTCCTTCCACTACTAGCATGCCTCAGTTTTATAGTAAAGCCCTACTGACAGCATAATCATAAACACAGAGGGGTCGAACCTGGACAAGGTAAAAGTAAAGGATATTACGGTGAGCTCAAAAATCCTTTTTTCCTTCTAGTTCTTTAAGGGATACAGGATCAAGGCATACAGATAATCTTTAACCCTCAAGACAACAAAAGCAGTTCAACTGAGGGAGAAGGACGCAATATAGCAAACAAATGCTTACAGGCACAAGTTAAAACAGCAGAAGAACTGGGACTGCCTGCAGGTCAGAGGACCACCTGACCGTACACCTGAAGCTGGAACAGGCTACCCACCTGTGACACAGATCCTGGAATAATTCTGGGTGTATTAATCACTCCCCTGGGTGCAGATGCTGACAGCTGAGAAATTCTGCCTATCAGTTGTCCATGCCTGAAATTTAAATGGAAGACAAGGCTGGAGCTCAACCCAGATAATAGTCCATTTGCCACAGCGAGATGTCTGGTCTTCACTGTATGCCACTACCGTGGTGTTGCCCAGCTGGAGTCAGATTTCTGAGGTTCAGGATCTACAGGTATCTAAGCTGTTGTAATGTCTGGGCGATCAAGGCCACATTGTCTGTCAAAGCCTGCACTGACTGTTCCCACTATGGGGATGCCACAAGAAATGTAGAAGTGCTAGCACTGGGGCCAGCACAAGGTGCAGACAAGAAGCCAAATGGAATGTGCAGAGGACACACAGTAAAGCGCAGGAAATGCTGCAATAGAAATATTGGGACATGCATGTTTACAACCTTGATGTCCTCAGAAACCAGAAAGTGTTCTTGCTGAATGAAGGCAGTGACAGACCTCTCAGATTCCATGCAGAACTTCTGATCCCAAACGAAGACATTCAATGCTTTGATATCCAAGATGGGGTGGATGCCCGCTTTGAGTTTAGGAACCATGAACAGGTTGGATTAAATCCCTTGAAACCATTTGGCAACAGAAACTAAAGAAGTGACACTTTTATCCAGAAGACCCAAGAGGAATCAATGGAGAGCTGATTTTCTGTGCAGTGGTACAGAAAGATAGGAGGTAGGAAAGTGACGATGGGGGAGGGAGCAAAACTCTAGCTTATAGCCCTTGGAAGCCACCTCCTATATCAAAGCATTTGAGATAAAAGCCATCCAAATGTTTGCAAAAGAAAGTGGGGGCACATCCTTATGCAGAGGAAGGTTTGTCTGAGGGTTAGTAGACTTTCAACACCAGACCTTGTCAGAGGACTGGGAGCCAAGCTTAAAAGGTCTGGATGTGGAGGTTGCATAGTGGCATAATGAAGAGAACATTTCTTAGTCTCCGGCAAGGGATTAACTTTCCAAGTCTGTGCCTCGGGCTTCTTTCGCTGGAGAAGATAATTGCTTTTGCCACCAGTAGTATCTTTGGTAATGGAATCAAAGGTTGGTCCAAAGAGACGTCCCTAAAGGCCATGCAGATCAAATGCTCCTTACTTGCAGGTTGACAATATACTGTGTAAACTTTGTATAATAAGTAAAGAAAGCTGGCAACTGACGAGTAAAAGCCAATTTCTAATTTATTTATTTAAATATTATACAATATATTTATAATGTACAGTATGTAAACATATTCTGTTTTTACCCAAAATATTGCGGCTTTGGTCTTTCACCTTAATATGTAAAGCACCAGCTGGAATCCGTGTTACATTTTTGTATTGAAAGAACCCTAAAAGTAAATTTTAAAATGAAGTTAGAAAGTAAAAAAAAAAAAAAAAAAAAAGAAAATAGGTTTACATGATTTATGATTTGATATGAACACATTTCCTGGGCAAGTGTTAAAAATACTCTTTCAGTAAACAATGCATAATTGCTTTTAGAATACTAAAAAGCAGTTGCCCGTGCGTATCTGAAGCAGCTTTCAGTATGTGCCAAGTTGTGGGTCTGTTCTTATCAATAGCACCAACACTTTATGTTAAACCCAACCCAAAGCCCAACTCCAGTAAAATGATCTCTTGCTATGGGGCTACGCCTGCACTACAAGGGTTAATTGCAGGTTTGGCTAGGGGGGAAGAAATACTTTTACTCACCTAATCCCCTACTCCACTGGCAGATGGCACTCCCCCAAACTCAGATGGTGGACTATTCCTTTCAACATCAACACATCAGGAATGGATCATGGTATGATGAACCCTGCTTTGGTCTTGATGATGTCAGGATCCTAGACCACTGTAGTGTGGAAGAGAAGGGGTTAGGGGCTGGTCTAGCTGTATGGAGGAGTGGTGAATTGGGTAAATAAATAATTTTTTTTCCGTAGACCTAAACAAGCAATTAAATCTCGCAATGCAGGCGCACTTCCAGTGCCAGAGATAATTTATTAGTTGCCTGGACTTGGACTTAAAGCAATGATTCCAGTTAGTATTTCTAAGTGTCTAAGTGTTAATTCTGGCCATGCTAAAGAACATAGGTCACCCACAACTGAAAATGCTTTAATAATTAACTGCTATCGAATTACCAAGTTTCACAGCTGTAATTTTCTCTCTCTGGCTTGATAGATTTGTTTTTTTACAGCCTGCAGGCATTGAAAGAATTGTTCCTTGACCCAGTGAGTCATAACTTTTTCAGTTATATTTCAGAATGATTTAAGATTTCTTTTAATGCTATATCAATATAAAGTTCTATGTTTATTGTCAGTCATTCCCAAACCATAACCTACCTAGTTTAGGCAAATAAGTGTGCAAAAAACAACATAACCTGTAGAGGGATAAGGGTCCCGGAAAACATTCCAGATAAAAATGCAGGAGTCTTTCTTGCCACCGCAACTTCCACATGAGTCAACAGTCTCCCCAGATCCCAGAACACCATCACAGCCTGCTGTCTGTAAAATAAGAGCACATGCAGAATTGACAAGAGGCTCAATTCACCTTGCTAGTTAAATTATTGTTGATATAGTGATCCTTGTTTTTTTACTGTCAATACAATTTTCAGTCAAGAACAATAAGTAACATGTAATCATGAAAACAGTGTACTGTAGACATTAATATAGAATTGAATTGAGACCAGATGTGTTCTAAAGTTAGAGAGTTTATACCGCCTGTGAAGAGGAGAACTTTGGTATGAGGAGGCCAGGCTACAGTGTCACTTACAGTACATAGTTTTGTAAGTCCTAAATTTGTCTGGTAGGTAATGGTGTGTGTGGTCAACAAAGAGAAAATCAACTACAAAAAGAAAGGGAGGTAGGTGGGGAAGAAGAATGCAGTATGTGGGGGGGGGAATCTTTCAAATCCGCTGAATGTTCCATTCCAAGGTGGTATGCTATAAGGAGGTCAGGGTGCTGGGTGAGAGTTGTTGATGATAATAATAAACTTTATTTTATATAGCACCTTTAAAAAGGTAGCTTCTCAAAAGCGCTTTACAAAGAAAACAAACAAAAAATACACGGGATAAAACAAAGTAAAAAAGGGACCATTAAGTGAAGGCTTGTCTAAAAAAAAGTTTTTAGATTTGATTTGAATGAGTTTAGAGAAGATGACTCTCTGATGTTCCTTGGAAGTGAATTCCAGAATTTTGCAGCATAGCAGGAAAAGGCTCTGTCTCCCATCAAGTGTAGGTGAGTAGGGTGGACATACAGAAGACCATTTGAGGAGCGGAGATCACTAGGGGGTAAGTTGATAAAACTTCAGACAGATAACGGGGTACCAAGCCATAAGGAGCCTTATAAGTGAGCAAGAGGATCTTAAAGTAAATGCGATATGCATTGCAATAGTCAAGTCAGGAGAACACAAATGTATGGATCAGCTTTTCAGCTACAGTGTATGATAGCATAGGACGCAGCGGAGCTGGAAAAAGATGTTCTGACAACATTTTGTACATGTGGACCAAAGGTTAAGCTAGCATCAAATATCACCTCTAGATTTTTCAATTTAGACTGAAGATCAAGTACAGTGCCAACGATAGATAAGCTTCCAGTACTGGCCAAACACAATTTATGGGGGGGGGGGGGGGTGCCAATAAGCAGGACTTCATTCTTGTCACAGTTTAATTGAAGAAAATTATGGAACATCCAAGTTTTTAGATCATAAATACAGTTAGATAGGAGAGAAGCAGCCAAGTAGAATCCAGTTTAGTGTGGAAGTATATCTGAGTGTCGTCAGCATAGAATTGATCATTGAGCCCATGTGATCTAAGCAGTTGGCCAAGTAGAAAACATGCTAAAAAGTAAGGGACCCAAGATTGAGCCATGAGGAACATCGTACTTAACTGGACCGACTTCAGTCTGAAATCCGAAAGAGAAACAAAGAGATAGCGATCAGTAAGATATGAATTAATCCATTTCAGAGCCAATTCTGAGACATCAAAAAAGCAATAGAGTAAAAGGTTGTGGTCTACAGTGTCAAAGGCAGAACTTAGATTCAGTAGCATAAGAATAGTTAGTGAGCCAGAATCAGAAGCTAACAGAAGGTTGGCAGTGACTTTGACCAAGACGATTTCTGTTCTGTGAAGTTGCCAAAAACCAGGCTGAAGGGGTTCAAATAGGTTATTTAAAGCCAGGTGGTTATGTAACTGAGATAGCACAACTTGCTGATCAATAGTACCCCAGTTATGATAATTAACAGATTGAGACAGGGAGGTGTTAGAAGCTGCTAATTCCAGATTGAAAAGAATAGCTAGGTCAGCAGAGAGTCCTAAGTCAAAGGAAGAGCAGTCAAAGACAAAAGAACCATTAGCAATGATATGGTTCAGGGTGTGTCCTTTGATATGTATAGGGATGCAAACAAATTGATTTAGGTCAAAACATTCAAGTAAACCCAAAAAACAGTCAATGCCCTGTTTAACTTCTGTAAATTGTACACATTGGGACCAATTTACTAAAACTAGAGAGTTCAAAATCTGGTGCAGCTCTGCATACTGTAAAAACCAATCAGTTTCCATTTTTTTTTTTTGTCTAAGCTTAATTGAACAAGCTGAAGTTAGAAGCTGATTGGCTAACATGCAAAGCTGCACCAGATTTTGCACTCGGAAGTTTTAGTACATCAACCCCATTTTACTAACAGATCAGCTACTCATCAGTAGCCAGAAGTGAATGCAGATGCCACAGACACATACATATGTCAAAATTTGACATGTGGGCAGGAGCGGGTGACCGAATAAAAAAAAAAAAAAAAAGCAGCTCAGTACTGAGGACAGGTCTCAAAGACCATCTGAATGAGCACTTAAAGATAACCCCACATTTGCAATAATAATAAGAATATTATTATAGCATACAAAATTGCTACACAAGCCATTTTGTAATGAAATGTTATTAAAATTACCTTTCCATTTAAATCTAATAGCACTTTCATTTTCTAAAATGTTTTGAAAGTTTAATGCAATATGGCAATGTGGAGGCATTTTGTACACCACTGGTTACATAGTTACATAGTTAGTCTGGCTGAAAAAAAAACAAAAGTCCATCCAGTTCAACCAAAAAAAAATGTATAATCCTTTACCCACCATTGATCCAGAGGAAGGCAAAAAAAAACCCCAGCAAAACATGATCCAATTTGCTCCTGCAGGGAAAAAAAATTCCTTCTTGATTCCCTGAGAGGCAGTTGAATATTCCCTGGATCAACTTTACCTATAAATGTTAGTATCCAGTTATATTTGTGTGTATCTAGGAAATAATCCAGGCCGTTTTTAAAGCAATCCACTGAGCTGGCCAGAACCAACACTTGAGGGAGTCTATTCCACATTTCAGCTCTCACTGTGAAGAAACCTTTCCGTATTTGGAGATTAAATCTCTTTTCCTCCAGACATAAAGCATGCCCCCTTGTCCTCTGTGATGACCTCAGGGTGAATAGCTCAACACCGAGTTCACTATATGAACCACTGATGTATTTATACATGTTGATCATATCCCCCCTTAATCTCCTCTTGCCAAGAGAGAATAAATTCAGTTCCTCTAATCTTTCCTCATAGCTGAGCTCCTCCATGCCTCTTATCAGTTTGGTTGCCCTTCTCTGTACTTTCTCCAGTTCCCCAATGTTGTGTTTGTGAATTGGTGCCCCAAACTGAACTGCATATTCCAGATGAGGTCTTACTAATGATTTGTACAGGGGTAAAATGATCTCTCTCTCTGGAGTCTATACCTCTTAATACAAGAGAAGATTTTGCTGGCTTTGGAAACCACAGCTTGGCATTGCATGCCATTATTAAGCTTGTGATCTACCAGAACCCCCAGATCCTTCTCCACCATTGATTCCCCCAGTTGTACTCCCCCTAGTATGTATGATGAATGCATATTCTTAGCCCCCAAGTGCATAACCTTACATTTATCAACATTAAACCTCATTTGCCACATAGTTGCCCAATTAAACAGTGCATTGAGGTCAGCTTGTAAATTGGAGACATCCTGTAAGGACGTTATTCCACTGCAGAGCTTGGTTTCATCTGCAAAGACTGAAATGGGATTTTTAATCCCAGACACTATATCATTTATAAATATATATTAAAAAGTAAGGGTCCCACACTGAACCTTGGGGTACACCACTGACAACCCTAGACCATTCAGAGTATGAATCATTAACCACTACTCTCTGAATATGATCTTTTAGCCAGTTTTTCAACCATTTACATACCGATTTTTCCCAAGCCTGTAGACTTTACCTTACACATTAGCCGTGTGTGGGGAACTGTGTCAAACGCTTTTGCTAAATCCAAGTATATCACGTCCACCGCCACACCTCTGTCCAAGGTTTTGCTCACCCCCCTCAAGAAATCAGAATTGTTTGATAACTTCTGTCTTTCATGAATCCATGCTGTCTGTTACTTAAAATATTTTTTTTTTCAGCAAGAACTCATCTATGTGGTCTTTTATTAAACTTTCCAGTATCTTCCCAACTATAGAAGTTAAATTAACAGGTCTATAGTTACTTGGTAAAGATTTTGATCCCTTTTTAAATATAGGCACCACACTGGCCTTACACCAATCCAGTGGTACTATGCCAGTCATAAAGAGTCCCTAAAAATTAGAAACAATGGCTTTGAAATGACAGGGCTCAATTCTTTAATGACCCGTGGGTGTATGCCATCCGGTCCAGATGCTTTATTCACCTTTATTCTGTCTAAATAATTCTGGATCATATGAGTTGTGAGCCAATGTGGATCATCTGGAGCTGTGTCAATACCATGCCCATTATGGACAAGAGCTCCCCCATGCTCCTTTGTATACACAGAGCTGAAGAAGGTATTTAATACATTTCTTGGAGAGATTTTATTTCTTGTGATATTTATTTCTTGTAAACTTTTATTTCTGGTGAATTTATCAAGTATCTTAGATATTTATGGTTTAAACGTACTTCTAGTCCTTGTGCATTTCTCATAGGAGTTATTCGTTTTATCACCTCGAGCGCTGCACTATTTTTATATATTTATTTGAAGGCATATGGTTTTTCCTTTTAGTGCATTAGCTGCTTTTATGATCTAGTGCTCGCTTACAATTTAACTATTTTAGGTTCATATAGTGAACTTGGTGTTGAGCTATTCACCCTGAGGTCATCACAGAGGACAAGGGGGCACTCTTTACATCTGGAGGAAAAGAAATTGGATCATGCTCTGCTGGGTTTTTTTTTTTGCCTTCCTCTGGATCAACTATGGGTATAGGATAATAACGTTTTTTTTTTTTTTTTTTCATGGTTAAACTGGATGGACTTTTGTCTTTTTTCAGCCAGACTAACTATGTAACTATGTGAGTGGGCAAACATTCAAAATCAGCAGGGGATCAAATATTTATTTCCTTTACTGTAAGTATATTATCTTTTTTTTTCAATAGTGTTCTCTCTAACTTTTATTCAATGCCTCAGCAAAGGAAGGGTGAGACAACAATTAAAAGACTTTTTAAACTGCTCAAAAAAATTAAAGGAACACTTTTTAATCAGAGTATAGCATCAAGTCAATTAAACTCCTGGGTTATTGATCTGGTCAGTTAAGTAGCAGAGGGGGTTGTTAATCAGTTTTAGCTGCTTTGGTGTTATTGAAATTAACAACAGGTGCACTAGATGGGCAACAATGAGACAATCCCCAAAACAGGAATGGTTTTACACCTCCAGGTTACACCTCAGACAGTCCAGGAGCTCAGTGATGCCCTGGTCCAGATCTGTGAGGAAATATCCCAGGACACCATCATTTGCCTCATTAGGAGCATGCTCCAACGTTGTCAGGCATGCATACAAGCACGTGGGGGCCATACAAACTACTGAGTACCATTTTGAATTGCTGCAATGAAATTTCAGCAAAATTGACTAATGGACTGCATAATTTTTTCACTTTGATTTTTGGGGTGTCTTTGAATTCAGTCCTCTGTAAGTTGATAATTTTCATTTCCAAACAACGATGTGGCATCCTTACATTCCTAACACATTACCCAGTCCATATCAGTATAGATATCCAGCATGATATATTTCCCCATTGAGATCTGATGTATTTTCAAAGTGTTTCTTTAATTTTTTTGAGCAGTATATTTAAAAGCAAGGTCTGCTGTTTAAAACATTCATGCTCACCTAAAAGCAGCACTATTCAGAATATAAATCACTTTTACATATATATACACAACTATTACACTGCACCTATAATGTGATACCTAATGAGACAAATCCAAAATGTAACACCAAATGTGTGCTATACCCTGTGCAATCCAAAAAATAGTTGCAATATTGTTAAATCACCAAATGTGTGTTATACACTGTACAGTCCCCAAAAAATGTGTTAAAAAAAATTGAATAGTGATATGTAGATTATCCACTAGAGGAAGGATTGCACTGCAGTTACTCTGTCTCCTTGTATCATAACTACAGGGATATGATATCAGCCCCATAAGGATTATTAGGTTGTTTCGGTGGAGTGGCACAGGCATTGTGAGAAGGAGCAGTAAAGTACAGCCATTGTGTAGCACTGCTAAACAGTAAGTATTTACGGCCCCATGCAGGGCCGTGGATAAGGGGGTACCACCAGTCCTCCTGTATGGAGCCTAGGCCAGCAGGGGGGACCAGGCGACTGATGTGGGTGAGAAAGGTGATTGGCATGGTGTGGGGGGGGGGGGGGGTTACTGTAAGCGATCCCCTGTATTGCTTTCTCTGCAGCAGCTGAAATCTGGTCTCTTCACCTCTCCCTCCCACTAGCTTTCAGCTGCTGCTGAGAGAACCATACAGGGGATTGGCTCCAGTAATTGCCCCAACTCCACCCATCACCCTCCCTGTGCACCATACATTTCCCGCTGCTGCCCAGGCCCCCCCATGTGCCCACCCCTGTAGTGAAGCTGGCTTCCCTCCTCTTCTTTCCACAAGCAGCTGAAAAAGCACACAATGAGATCCTTCAGGATGGAGAGTGGGGGAAGGGTCCAGTAAACATGTTACATTTACCAGCCCCTTCCTTTCCTGAATGAGCACAATGAGTGATCAGTACCGATTGCTGACTTTCTTCATTCATAACTGTCAGGTTGGCTGTATGGGGCCCCGTGATTTCTAACAGCTGTCCTGCCCTCATGCACTAATTGTATATCACTAAAACTATACATGAAAAAACACATTTGTTTGTAAATATTATTGTATATGAATAAAGATTATTTGCAGCAAGCTGATCTCTTATATGTGGAGCTAAAAATAACTGACAACATTTTTTAAAAAGACCTAGTCTATCCAAAATATTTTTAGTTTTTGGTGAACATTGATAAGTTGATTCACCTACTTTTCTCATATACATGGGGACTTTAGAGTTCCTATGAGATATATAGTGCTTATGGAAAGGGAGGGAAGGGATAGAGGAGAGTAGATATTTATTGTTGCTTCCACAAGGATTGCTCTCTCTGGATCTCGAAATGGATCCTGCATAGGCTATATTATCTTGTGCATAAGGCCAGGGGCAGGACTGACAACTCATGGACCCCCTGAGCAATAGGGGTTCATGGGGCCCCTGTGTCCTTGCCCAAACTCAAAAAAGCCTATGAAAAAGGTACCAGGGGCATCTCATGGGGCCCCCTACTGACCCCGGGCCCTCGGGCAGTGCCCGAGTTTCCAAATGGTCAGTCCGCCCCTGCATAAGGCACAAGCTGCATATTGCAAAAAAACAGCACTAATTATGGCATTACCAACTAAGATCATCCACCTAGAATGTAAGGGAACTTGGGAAAATATTATCTTTAGTAAATATGTTTTGCTTTTGAGATAACATATTTTTAAAAAGAGGTGTGACTTGAAATCCAGTATAGTGATTGCACTAAAAATGTATAACTTTGTGTTTAAATATCTCCTTTATTTGTGCATTTAAGGAACTTTACCAAGTCCACAAAAGGGTGTAGAATGTCTGGAAACCTAAAAGGTACCTCATTCAACAATCCCAACCACTATAAGAAGAATCCCCTCCCCCAAAGAAAAAAATAAATGCAAAGCCCCAAGATTGTAACCGTTTTCTATATAAAATTCTTGTCTTTTTATATCAACTTGTAAAACAAATGTAAAGATTATTATACCAGGCATTTGCCGCTGATGCAGGTACCGACAGAGTCTTCTCCACAGCTGGTCCCATCAAGTACTCGCCCAAAGGTATAATAAAAGTTATATCCAACAGCCAAACAGTTTAAATCACAGGCATTGGAAGCTGAAATTAATTATATATTTGACATGACTATGATAATTATTCATTATTATCACACATTTTAATAATATAGTAATTCCAATACTAATCTTTTTCTAGTTCTAAAAGACGAACAGGATTTAAAATAAATAGAGATAAGACTTTTAAAATAATGATCATAAAGTGAAACTTCAGAAAACATATTTTGACAATATTTAGGTAGAGTGTAGAAAATGTTTCACTTTTTTTTTTATTTTCTTCCTTTATCCCCACTGAGATTATTTTTTCACTCCCTTTCCTAATGATGTGACAGACAGTGAAAAGAAAAAACTGCCCAAACTAAGGGGGCAATCCCAATGTAGATCCCTTTTGCCAGGTTTGCCTTTTAGGATAGCTCCCTTTCCTTTTTCAGGAAAAACAGTGGTGAGATTTCCATTTATTTTTTTGTTGCCACCAGAGCAAGAAGTCAAGGTAAACCTTACAGAATTTCTAACTTTTTTGATTTAATTATCCACTTAACGGTGTGATAAAGAGACTCTGTCCTAAAGGAAACCATTGCGTAAGGTGCTTTATGTCATGCATTAACATGAATTGCATTAAGGCAATCCAATTATTCTAATAAGCTGCCAACACACCAGAAAATGCTCCTGCACTATTTTTCCTGACACAGTGCACCACAATACAGGGTTGAGGGCTACATTGTGTTGTACTGCAACATAGAGGTCTTTCTTTTGTATATTTAGAGTGCCATTGAAAATGAATGGTATCGCAACACTGTGCATGATGCATTGACTGCAATGGAAGAAACCCATAGGCATTAATACTATGTCACATGGAGTTTTCACCAGGTTTAAGATCTCTAAGAGATCACTTGCCTATCTCTATGGAATTATTCCCTTGCTAACAGGCCACTGAGATGTTGCTTCTTTGTTTGCACATACAGTAGCTATTAAATGAAATTCAAAAGCGTTCGGAAGCGATTCAACAGAGATGAGTGGAAGGCGCTCCAGTATGAGTTTGTCACTGGCAATGTGTTTTTCAGGTGCCCCAACCTGCAGAAGCATAAAGTGTATGAAACCAGCAGAGCAGACACAGCTTGTTGTGTAATGATGATGGAAAAAGTTATGCATCTATTCAATTTAGCAAATGAACCACACCATCATAAATAGTATAAATATCTGCATTCTGGCCTGTACCTATCCAGGTTAGAACTATGGTGTTACTATTGTAATGAAGAATTTTAAACAATGGAAAAAGCATCATACATTACCTAATCAGAAACTGTCATGGGATATTAAAGTGTTACTAAACCCAGGACCCTGCATTCACTATATCTGATCTCCCACAGTACACAGAACATGGAAATGCAATTATTTTAGTAAATGTAAACTGCTAAATACCTTTTCTCATCAGCATTTAGAGCAGTCTTGTGACTTCTATCGCTGTCCAGCTGAGCACTGGTTAAAGCTTGCAGGAGGAGTTTTCTTTCTGCTCTAGGAGGATGCAAAAACCCCTGACCTCTGTCTGGACAGTGCCGATTATCCCTGTGCTGATCACATGCATTCTCCCAAGAAAAAAATAATTCTCTAGCACTAAACTGAGCATGTGCAGAGTGTCTCCACATGATAAATTGTGGCAGAATCCAAATATTGCAGAGTTCCCCTTTAAACTTTAAGGTTTCTAAAACATCTGTTTGCAGAACCAAGCCATCAGCTCGCTTTCTCCCCCTCATTTCCTGTGGAACAATCTGTTAGCTAAATGTGCAAATCGCAAAGATTATACTCTGTATACTGCTTAGAATGTTTTTTAAAAGTAGAACAAGTGAAGAGGAAATATATGCATTATGACGTAATTGTTGGTATATACACCATGTAAGATGCTTTTGAAGACACTTAGCTTGCAGACATTAGTCCTTGCTAAGTCCCAGCTGGTTAATAAAGCTTGTTTTCTTCAAGTTTGTGTCCGGAGTTTTAACAGGAACTGCTACTACAATATCTTATCAGGAGATAAGGGGAGACACTGGAAGAAGGGGAGGATCAGAGAAGTCAGGATCAAACAGCCTTTTTACACAATGCAGAGGATTAACCCGGTTCCACAGAGCATAGAACAAGCATGCTTTACTGCATATATAGACTGATTTTACTGTTGTGGGTTTAGTAACAGTTTAAGCTTTATTAATGGCAATAATGTTGTAATGATACCTCCATAAAATGGCACCCAGTTGTATGTTTTCTCAGATGAACCTGGTATTGGTCTGTTATTGTAGACAGCACATTGCACATTTCTGAAAGGTACGGCATCTGCAGGGCACTTCTGTGAAATCATACAGCAAGCAAAGAAAAAAAAAATACACCATTAGCAATAAGAAAACACACACACAACAAACACACACTTACTATCAAGTCTTTAGTGACTATTATAACATACAGCCAGCCATATGGCATACAAATATGAGGCATGTGTATTCTTATTTACAATATACCTAGATGTACTTTATGTATTTGTTTAAAATTCATGCAATTTTACAGCAGCTACAAAAACTATAGCGAAGGCATGGAAATCTACACTCATCCCTGAAGTGGCAGTCAGGTCATTAGTTACCCAAACTATGCTCCATGAAAAAAATCAAGGTGAGGCTATCGGAGATGATGGAAAAATACACATCAATATGGTACCCTTGGTTCTCCAACTGCCTTCCTAGAGATGCTGCCACAGTTCAGGTTGCCCTTGCCTCCCGGCTCTCCTGACTTTTCTCATTTCACTAGTCCCTCTGGCTGTTTTTACGTTCCCCTTTCTAACTATAACCATGTTACAATGGGAAATGTTCACTATTCTGTATAATACTCTGGAACCTTGTGTACTTGATATCCAATTATGATACTGTACATTAATGCTTTCAGAGGTATACCATATGTTACAATATACTTTATTACATTATCTCTCTGAATCTACTTGTATATTTTGAATGTCTAGGTCACTCTACTTAACTATTTAATATAAATCACTGAACTAAAAATGTTTGCAATAAACCGGCATGAACATTTTGACTTTATGCATGGGACTTCTTTAACAAAAGACCAGGCATTGCTGCTCTCCCTCCTTATTCAGAGTGACTGTTCTTGTATCATTTTCCCCTTCTAGTTTTCTGCAGTTTTCTGAGAAGTGTGATGAACGGCAGTGTCACTATCCTGCCGATGTCACCAGTATGTGACCAGTAAAGACTTTTTTCTGGATTAGGTCAATCACTGTACAAAACAAGTTGCAATAATAAGTGAACAGTAGACTGAAACAGGTTGGGTACTTTTAAGGGAACCCAAGCTGGAAACCTTAGATGTAGGCTATGTAAGCTCTTCCAGATCTAGACACGTGCACAGTAGGGACTCGAGGAGCAGTTAAAGTACAACCAAGTTCACATAAGGGCAAAGTCCTCACTTCAGCAATGGTCCTGTAATGCCCCAAGCAAATGAAGAAGCTAGGCAGGATCCAGGGGACAAGCCACATCCAACAGCTTTTGACCCCCCAGTGAGTATACTCCCTTAGGGTCTTTAATGACAGGGTTCCACAAGACAGATGCACTGCAGCCTCCCAACCAGTAAAACACTCTGCTGATTTACATGTTACACCAAGGGCTAGAATAGTGCCTAATGCAGAGTCCAGTGCCCAGAAGACACATTAGTGGCTGACTCAATTCCTCCTCATAATGGAAACCAGGTCAGCCACCCCTGGCTATGCCAAGGATCAGCTTGTCCAGACGCTTCAAAATGGCCCCTAGTTGCTCTGTAGCAACCACAGAATCTTGGAAAAACAAAGTCCTAATAAAAAGCAGAAAAAAGTATGGATACCAGCATACTGGGAGTGGGAAGGGTTATACTGGTTCCTCCTTATAGCTTTTTTGACAGTGTCAAAATTCCTGAAAGGCAGCTGTATAACCATATTTACCCCATGTACCTAAGTACCTCCCATGTCCTTCAATGTACAATTAAGAAAAAAAATACTATCAGGCAATATATGCAGAAAGGAGTGGGGATAGTATTACAGTAGACCAATCATGTACATTACTGCTTTGGGTCAATTGATGTTTATGTTTCTGCTCACAGACTCGTGCTGCAAGCATTTCATGCTAAAAATGTAACGAATCCTTGGGATTAAGGACTGGTCAGATTTGAACCAATGAGAATATCAGACCTTCTGGGACCTTGTTGATCTCTGTGAGAAACAACATATATAGAACTCAGAAGATTTTTTTTTTTATCTAACTTTGGATCTGGTCCTAAAAGCCAGAGGATACCCAGGGACCTAGACTGACCAACTGACAAACATCACTAGTCTAAATGGGACAAAAATCCAATAAATGTGCTCCTTGTCTGCAGTAAAAGGTGTATTTATTTAGTGTGTTTTTTAGGTGTAGTTTACACAATATATTAAACAACTGAATTGTAATTTTAGGGATAATTTGAGTGCAACTGAAAGAACAGCATTACAGAGGAATCCAGAGACAGAAATGAAGACTGCAGACAAGGATGGTTCTATGTATCAAACAATTCTGAAAAGCAATACCTGGTATTGAAGGATTTCATGTGTAAACAAAGAATCAGATAAAAAGGTTATGTTTGTGATAAAAGATACTTTTCCACAAGGAAAGAGTATCATTGACAAAAATATGTGCTTTACGGGCTACCTAAAGTGCATGAATCTGTCAGGGATCCATCTAAGAGGCCTATCATCTTGGGTTGGGTTTCCTTTACAGAGAGGATTAGTGAATTCATAGAATGTACTCTACAGACATTTGTCTTAAACCTTCCCAGTTATGTGAGAGACACTTCACATTTGCTTATTCTTCCATATGACATTGCAGTCCCTGAGCATACTCTTTATTTCAATTTGTACATAGAAGCTCTTTATTCTTCTATTCCACAGCAACAGGGATTGCAGGTTGTAGAACATTACAGGCAAGAGCAATACACAAGAAACATACCAAATGTTTTTTTTTTATTCTTCTTGGATTTCTTTTAACACATAACAAATTTGGTTGATGGACAGTATTTCACCCTCACTAGGGGTGCCCCAGCATATGCCAATAAGTATCTTGGGGAATGGAAAAATTGGCTGCTCGATGGTGCATCCTTGCTGTTGTACCTATGCAGGATTTTAATCTGGTACAGGTTCAGCGATGATGTCATGATTTGGTGGCCAGGCTCCATGTAGGAAGTTAGGGATTTTGTGGTGAGTTTGGAACTAATTTACTTTAGACTTACAAGTTTGTATGGTTCTGTTAAGGTCACTTTTTTAGACCTGATTCTTGAATTTGAAATAAGGGGAGAAAAGATGAAACTCTTTAGGAAACCTACTGCCACACAGTTTCCCCAGTGCAGACAGTTTCCACCCCCACACTTTGACAAGGAATATTCTGGTAGGACAATATTTGATACAATGTATCTCTTTCTCTCTCTGGATTTCTGGTTCCCAATTGTTGGGATGTTAGTGAGAGCCCAATCCCTGTGCTGGGAGTGTGCTGTGCAGCACACTCCTAGCACAAAACAATGTATGCATACATGCAGCCTCATAGAATAAGACCTACTCAGTGTGTACATGCAGTAGCAAGTGAATATATATATATTACATATACATATATACACACACACTATATATATATATATATTTTTTTTTATACACACAGTTCTGTGATTTATATATATATATATATATATATATATATATATGTAATAAAGACTTTTTTTTAATTTTGCATAGATTTTATCACAATAAAAATAAGGAAGAACAACAAACAAATAAGAATGAAAACATTTTGCATTAATGTTTAAATATAGAAATAAAATCAACAGAGAAAAATGTGCTTGGGGGAGAAGGGGGAGAATACGTTAATTGGGGCTGATTTTAATAAGGGGTTTTTATACCAGATCAAAAGCATCCCATTGAATTGTACATGAATGAAAGTACAAAGTAGCAGTAATGGTATCTTGTGTAGTCAAATGAACCTCTAAACAGTGTACCAAATACTGTTCAGAAAAGAAGATCTGTGTTACACAGCAGCAACAAAGCAAGTCCCAGCTGTCATTTTGACCACTGTTAGTTGTGGTAATAAAGGCCAGACTAGAGAAGAGGAGCAGAGTGTGGAAAGGAATGTGGCACTCCTGGCCGCTGTCTGCATCAAGGGGGAAGAGAGCAGTATCACATGGGGCTAAAATAATGGGGCAGCAGTACCGCCACCTAATTACTTCTGCTAAACATAGAAACCCATCTTATTTCAGACAGCTTTTCAGTTTTCGGACGCTCCGACACCCCACCGGCACTAGGCACCCACCTAGATCCAGCTCTGATTGCTGTGTCTCCAGGGTAGAAATTTGAGGGAAATATGCCCATCTGAACACAGAGAGCAAAACAATATAGGGGTTTGAAACCCTACTACTACCCTAATATAGTAGCCTACTACCCTACTATATCTAAAAATAATAAAAAGGTTTGGCTCTACATTAAATTTACAATGTCAATGCCTTATTTTCTATTTCAAAAGCTGAAAAAAAAAATTTATTTCCTCATGCAGCCATGTCTTTTGCCACATTTTTATATCTATATTTTAAAGATTTCTGATATACTGTAGATCAAAAACTGAAGCTCAGTGTATCAAACACAAGGCCTGTTCTGACAACCCTTCCTCAACAATCTCTCTCTTCCACAGGTGTGTCCATGGTCCTATTTAGCTTACTTACCACTGGGTCAAGGTGCATTCTCTTTTTTTTTATAAACTTGTTTTTATTGAGTATATGCAAATAAATGTACATGCACAAGAACTATTCTGTATATGCAAATAAAGGTACATTCACAGAGGAATATTCTGAATACCTCAGAAATTTGGCAAGGAACAGATGGCATAATGCCGGTTAACACATAACCAAACTTTAAATAATACAATAGCTTGACCCCTTGAGAAAAAGGGTTATTGTTGTGCTTACCTATGTTCTAGGCATAATAAACTGGAGGGCCTGTGCCCAAAAAAAAAAAAAAAAAAAAATGTCAACAAAGTCCTGGCTGTGCTTATTAAACCATGTGTTGGCCAAGTATTAATTACAGCCGTCATTAAGGTACAATCTTAGTCAAATTTTCAACCTATATATTTATACAGGAACTATATAGAGATTTGCTATGCTGGAAATAGACACAAACCAATACTCAGTAATAGTGGCACAACCTATGCAAGACAATGAATGATGTTTTAGTATGTCATGTGCCACCACACATTAGCTTCTATATGTGTGTTCGGAACTGTATTGTTCATTAACCTAGTTCTAATACCCTAGACCAGCAGACTTACCTTTGAATGACAGGATTTGTATTGTCGTAGATCTCCGACACATGTGTCCTTTGCAGAAATCCTTTGAAAGGCAAAATCAGCATTATATGATATGATATCTAAAAAATTTTTTTATAATAATAATAGTTTATTACATTGTATTCAGTTATAAAGTGTCACAGAGTTTATACAAACTTTATTTGAATTTCATTTTACAGAATATTCTAAGTGTAGAGATGTGCTGGTTGCTTTAAATCTTAAGCAGCAGTTGCAAAGCATTTTTTTTTTCTTTCCCTCTTTGTGAGTGACAGACAGGAAAAGCAGGACTGTGCTCTGATTGGTTGTTGCTACAACTGAAAAGGATCCACCCATAGCAGCACTGTTGTAGCTGGACTTATGATTGACTGTTGAGGAAAGGAGAGAGGAAAAAGGAAGAAGAAGCACATGTGGGGAAGGAGACATTTTCAGGGGACCGCATGGAGCAAGGGCTCCTGGTGTAAAGTCACAGAGTCTCACTCTCTGTGCTGCTAGAGCCCATGGGCTGGGCTGGGAGTGTATAGCAGAGGAATTTTTGCAAGAGGACAGTGTGCAAATCAAGGATTGTCCTGCCTGACACTCAGGATTACAGCCACTCAAAGTGCATGTGTCTCTCAAAGTTTGGAGCTGCTGAAAGAGAGAGGATTTCTACTACTGTCTAATGCTATGTAGAGGACAATCCAGAAATAGTGAGTACTCTGTGATGAAAGGGGATTTTGATATTGCTGCATTTGCTGTTCATCTCTGTAGAATGGTCATGAGAAAGCCTGCTCTCTAATTCTCAGAGTGACACAGATCTTGGAAAGCCCAAGCTGCTCAGAATTAGCTATTCCTGCTGCTGATTGATGAGAGAACTCTGTCTCTGTATATTACTGGTGATTGTCTCCTCAAAAATTGTGCTGTGGCTGAAGAGTGTGTTTAGCTCCAAATCCCCACAGAAGCTTGCTGCTCTCAATATACTGAGCAAGTGCCAGTATATCAGGATTTCACCTGTATGGTAAAGATTTTCTTGAAGTGTTGTTTTGTCCATTTGCAGTGTTCACTGGAAAATTCTGCTTAAAGGAGACTGTGCTATCCTGCTACCCCTGGATTACAAATACTCTCCCATGCAGAGAGTGAGTGCTCTTCCATTGATTAAAGGGTCCCAACATTGAGAGACTTTAAGTTTCATCCCACTGGCCAGTGGTTAGGTAGGACATTTCTGCTCTAGATAGTACTGCTATAGCAAATGTCAATAAGCTGCTAAATCTCATTAACAGTTATTGTTTCATGTGTCAATGTCACTCTCATATGTCACCCTAGTCAGTGTGATACTAGTCAGTTTTTGGAGTCTTTGGCGAGTGAATTGTGACTTCTTACTAACTGTGTTATGCAAAGTGGTATCTCTGTTTTATGTACATTACCTGTGTTAAATCAGCTAGTTTTTTTTTCAGGGTTTGTCTTCTTCAATAAAACCCATAAAAAATACTCTCAGAGTGTCGGAGTGTTCTGGGTATAATCGGAGGTGTCACCAGATTCAGGTGGGAGCTGAACCTATATATCTAGCCAAGCATCACCTAAGGGTGTGCTACATATGTATCCTCATACTATATGTAGGATTACCCAAAATTAGCTCTTACACAATGCTTTCTTTTGGTAATATGGCCTAAAATAGCAAAGAAATAATAGCTAAGAGGAGAAGGGGAGAAGTGAGTAAATTAAAGCTGGCCATACATGAATCAAAATTCAGCAGGGACTGGCCTAATTTTGATCCATGTATGGGCACCATGGTTGTACAGAAGTCGATCTAAATCAACTTCTGTACAACCACCCTGTCCAATTGTAGTCGCTAGATCAGCACTGCAGGCTATAGCTGCAGCACTGATCAATATATTCTGACAGTGAGGAGGTCCCCCTAATGCACTTCATCTGATGGTGATGAAGTCTCCAAGCTGTCAGATTACAATAGCACAGTAGGAGGGATTCCCCCATCTACACACTTGATCTGGATGGGGAAATCGGTCATTTAAAAAAAAAGAATAATGTATGCTCTGCCTAAGCCAGTGATTCAGAAAGTATCAAAGACAAAACATCAGCAGGACAGCAAGACAACGAACATTTGTCAGCAATGGTATCCTACATCATTAATGAACTGCACTCAAAGCAGATATAATACAGTTATGCATGTACTAAAAAAAATATTGAATGCATTTGTAAATGCAATTTGTGTAAGCACCTGATCTTTACTTAGTATCAACCTCTTGAATTCTCTTTTATAGAATAAGTTAGATTGGAAGAAGGATAGACAGCATTAGAAACCAATCAGCTTAGCTCTATGCAAATATACAGTACTGAGAAGAAAAATGCTGAGTCAGCCTAGGTTCACACCTATGCAGGTTGCATTTGAGCCATTTCTGCATTGCGTTTTGTTTTTGCACCTGCATTTTTGAAGCGTTTTGTATTTTTTTTTCCTTTTTTTTATTATCTTGTTGCTAGGCAGATTTAAAAACACAAAACACAGCAAAAACGTGGCAAAAATGCACTACATGCTTTTCTGCAGTGTTCCCATTAAAGTATATAGAACCAAAAATGCAACAAGTCCCTGACCCTTTTCAAAAAAATTCACCGGGTGAAAACACTGAGATGTGAACATGTGCCATAGGAAATCATGTTAAATGGACTGTACTGCGTTGCTGCAAAACGCTGCAGTTAACGCTTAGGTGTAACCTAGGGTAAAGGAGAGACCAGTATGCTGAGCTCATTAGTCTGATACTGTTCCCTTAAAGTACAACTAAAGGCAAAGATGGAGATGGATTACATGGAGATGGATTAGAACATCTGTCACTTTTTATTGCTGTTTGTGCCTTTTGGGAGATTCACCCTTTGGTCCTGTTCACATTTGTCCTGTTTACCATTATCATTGAAAGTAAAAGAAAATCCCAAATGTTGGGTTGTTCTCCAAAAAAATAACAGAAGGGAAAACTTCCAATGGGGACACTAGTTCTGGTGACCTGGGGGTCCCCAAGGAATTCCTTTAATTTGTAAGAATTTCCTCTCACTTCGGGTTTTGGCTATGGGACAGAAAATTAAGGTATATTTCCCCAATGGGACACAGATGGCAAAAACAAAATTTACGGGGGTTACAAGCCTCCTTTACTCTATCCAAAATGAAAAAAAGTGTTGCCTATGATTCTACTTTAATTGTAATATACAAAAATCAAGTTACTTGCCAGCCTTGCTGTACTCTCTGAAAGGACTGTGCAGATCTCAGGACTAGTTGAGCAGAAATGAGTCTTTTAGCATCCAAGTAAAGGAAAGAAGTGTTATGTCTGTTAGTTAAAGATAGCTTAGAAATTAGGAAAAGTGGCATACTTCAAAAACATACTGTTGTATTTATCAGCCATTTACAAAAACATTGTTTATGCACCTTAGACACTTGCGGCTCCTAAGTACTACTCCATCCCCACATGAACTGGAGCAAGTAGTCCATGATCCCCATGTTGTCCATAGTCCAGAGGAAGAGTACAGCATTCTCTCACTTTGAAGATTCCAACTGTCTCTTACCTACTTCATAAAATGGACCAGAAATTATGTTAGACCTATACCTAATTTGATGGCAAAACATTTCTAAAGTCTAATTCCAACGCCCGAAACAGTACTGGAATTCTTGGACAGGTGACATCTACAGTAACAATAAATAAAGAACATACATAGTCATGCCACTAGCATGACAAGCAGTGCTACATCATACAGCATAACTATCATATGAAAGCAGCAGGAAAATAGGGATTACTTTTATAAAACAGGCTAGAAATCTAAGAAATTGATTAATATGCAATACAGTCAACTTTCTTCTGTTTGTTCATAAAAACGTTCATAAAAAAAAAGCACAATAATCTTTGAAATAACACATTATCTTCAGTTTACATAAACCAAGCTGCATCATGTAGAGTTACTGAAACTTAATTTGAAATAGCAAAGTTTGTGGAAAGCACATTGTTTTCATAATTCAAATGCCTGTGAGTACATGTTCCCCCACGTATTACTGTGGATAGAGCAGGCAGATTACCAGTGCTGATAGCCTCTCTGACAGCTCTATGTGCAGCAGCTGGGGACAAGAGGAAGTGGCAAAACAAAAGGAATTCCAGAGAATTCCTCTAAGAACAAGAAAACAACTGCAATAATGTTGTTTACGTAATAAATAACACAGTAAAACAAGAAACTATGTTAATATCCATCATATATATGTTCTCTTCTATATACAGTATTTTATGTTGTAAGACTTTAAGCAAGCTTTTTCAATATGTTGTAATTATTTATATACCTAAACTAATAAATACATACCCACCTGCAATATAATATATAATATAAAATAGTGTGAAAAAAAACCTTGAATGTGCATGTCACGACAATTTTAGTCCATCTTATAAAAAAAATAAACTAAATAATAATACAATAAAAAAAAATATTTTTTTATATATTTTTTATATATATATATATAAAATTAAAAAAAAAATAAAAAAATATATATATATATATCCAATGGAAAAGAATGTATACAGTACATACATAAATATAACCTGATACCATATTTACTATATCTGGAAGTATATTTAGGAACATATCACCTGAGCTTGGATGGTAGTATGAATAATAAAAAAGGACATGAGCAGTCTTACACCTGGAAGCCTGATCCTGTTAAAGATACAGAAATATTACAGCTAAGTAGCAATTATCTCACATGCATTGACAGATGTTTACTAAATAAAAAGTGAAAACTCACCAGTTTTCCTGCCACATCTTGAGTGTTTTAAGAAAAAAGAAGACTTTTCAAAATACTCAGCTATGCTTCTCCACAAAACAAGCCAAGATAGCAGTTTCAATTATTACTGCTCAGTTGAGTGACTTTGCTAGATTCCTTATTGCTTACAACAAAACATACCCAAAAAACTGATCCAAGATCCTGAACATGTGTTTTTTTCCTCCCTAAGAAACACGCCTCTTAGATAATACATTTAACAGTCTCCTTCCCAAGGCAATCCGTTCACATCAGTCATGAAAACAAAACGTTTAGCATTCATATGATACAAACACTTGAGTTAATACTGCAGCTGGATGCTTGGAAATCATTTTAAAGGTTGCTCAGTACTTTTGTGTAAATCTATGTACTGCACTTGATGGTGCGTTTTCTTGAATATTCTATGCTCAGTGTCAAATCAGTGCCACCTTATGGAATACCAAACAAAATACAACGTCCATTATAATTTAAACACTGTTTGGAAATTCACAAGAAAAAAGTCACTGTTCGTAAAAATATAGCAACTAGTCTAATAGCAAAATATATTTTAAAAATATATAAAAATAGTCTGTTTTATACACTTTGTTTCAGTTCTTTACCTTCTATTTTTTTTGCATGCACTGAAATAAAAGGGTTTTTGTGTTAAGCACAACCATCCCTATCACAAAGCAAAAAACTGCTGAAGCTGAGAGTATTTCTACTTGGTTTTGAGGGGCTACCACTGATGGACTGCATTCAAAATGTCTTGAGAGAAATTAAAGCATTGAGGGCCTTCTCATATAGGAAGGGGCAGGCAGTCCCATCTTGGGTACTTTAAATAGCTTTGAACAAAAGACTTGGTAATGCTCCTGAGGTAGTAGAGGGACCACCACTCCCTGAGAAATGACAGGAAGTCCTTGAGAGAAGCTGACATCACCTAAGGGGAGTGAGAGAGACATGAAGTGAAACACCTTTTTGTGGGGGAAGATAGCAACAGAGATGCTAAACAGGCAAAAATCAACAATCTGTTATCCACAGGTGATAGTAGAACTTCATGCTTCTGTGGAATGAAAGGTCTTAGCAAACAGAGGACTTTTGCTTCAATTAGGATTAGTCTTGAAGATTTAGAACTTTTCAAAAGGAATTCCTGAAAGCAGTGAAATAAGTGGGCACTTTTATGAGAAGACTAACTGATCTGCCATAATCAGATATTGAGGAATGCTTGGATGCAGACCTTGCAATTGGGATAATTTTTGCCTTCTAAAAGGTGAGATGCAGGTCCACCAACAGTGGTGTCAGAAAAGTGGTGGTAGAAAGAAAATAAAAAAGCAGAATGAAGAAAGGGCATCGAAACAAAAAAAAAGGAGAACAAGAACCAGGAGAACCTGTCATAAAGCCACACAATCTGTTTTGCTTTTGGTACCAGGGTTCTCTCTCACATTTCTTTTCTTTTACACTGTTCTCATCTCTTCACTACACTGGTTTCCCATCATTCCATGGGCCTTCTCTCGTTTTTACTTTTTACTTCAGTGGCTGATTAAGTCTTTCCATCACAGTAGTAGCTCAATCGCATTCTCAATGTTGGTGATGTAGCTATTATATCACTATTTACTGTTGAGACTCATAGCAACTAAACGTACTCTTTTTTTCATGTGCGGGCAGCCTATTGTAAACTGCTCAGCACCCCCGCCAGCACATCTAGAGCCCATTGATGGGCCCAAACCCTGCAGGGACCTCAACCTACCTCCAGAGCGGACCGGGTGACCTGGAGCTCTCTCCCCATGCCGGGTCATGTAGTGGGGAGGGGCAGCAGCGGCTCCACGGCACCCAATGCCTGCGGCGGACAGGGGAGCCAAGATGGCATCCAGCTCAGCTCCTGCAGCCTCCACTGCCTCACAGTATTCAGGGGATGCAACCCTTATTGCTCGTTTTGCTGACCTGTTACAACGAGAGATGGATAGAGCTACTACTAAATTGGCATCAAATCTGATACAAGATTTTCAAGAATTGGGTTAACGTCTTGATAGTATTGAATCTAAAGTTGATGCGACAGTCCATAATGCGTCCCAAAACTCCAATATGATTACCAAATTGAAGGATTGACTGGATGAAGCTTACTCTAAAATTGATGATCTAGAGAACTGGGCCAGATTGTCAGGGATCCAGGTATGACTAGAGATGTGTGGACTGACACAGGGAAACACAGGCTTCAAGTATGGTGTAAAAGTAATAATTTATTTAAGGTTACACAATACACAGAACACACAGTGCAAAACCAAACCTTAAACTAGTCTCAATATGTGCGGGAACACAAGCGTAGTCAGGCAGGCCGGGTCAGTAACTATCAGGTAGACAAGGTACAAAGGAGCAGGCAGGAGAAAAGTCAGGAATAGCCGGGGTCGGTGCAGGCAGAGTTCTGGCAGAGTCAGGATCAGGCAGGAATATCAGGCAGGAAGCAGACAGAATGCAGGTACAGGGGCTCATGGGGAACAACACCAAGGCACTGATTGCAGGCCTGGTCTTGCTTAAATACACCTCCTGCAATCAGCCTCAGGTGATGGCTTGATTGCAGGAGTGTGACCCTGGCTTCTGAAAGCACCCTCTGGTAGGAGCTGGTACTGCAGCCCACCAGGCAGGTGAGTCCCAGCACCACCTGTGGTGAGTCCATTCCTGACACTGTGTGGAGAGGTTGTGTGGAAGGCTGCTCTGCTGAGTTCCAGGAAGGCCGGAAAGCCTGAGGCTTTCCTGCCCCAACCCAGCCCAGGTGGGATGTCGGTTCCTGGGTCTGGTTCTACTGGCCTGAAGGCCCCAAAGCCTGGGACCTCAGGTGATTTATCCGGCCCGGACAGGATGGAAGGCCCTGGGCCTAGTCCTGGAGAGAAGAAGGCCCCAAAGCCTGGGACCCCAAGTGCCCTACCCAGCCCAGGCAGGAAGGAGGGACCTGGTTCTGGGTCAAGCGAGGTTAGTACCCCGGAGGGACCTAGTACCAGCCTCCGAATTCCAGCAGTGGAGGACCTGGGAACAGCCCCAAAGTAAGGGGGAAACCTAAGGGGGACCGTGTGGTTGCTCGGGCCCGGCTGATTCGAGAGGGAGGAAGCTAAGCTGCAGAAGCTCTCATTAGAGCTAAAAAAGTTCCGAGCCTCTTATGCCTGGGTCTGGTCTAACAAAAGGCAGGCCATGAAGCCTGGCCTGGAGGCCCTGGAGCTCCAGGTCTCCCAGCAGGGATGTTACGTTGCTGCACTGCAGCGGAAGAGTGGGGCCTTGTCAGAGAAATACCTACACGAGGCTAGATTTAGCGTGGCGGCATTGCGGGGGCCAGTAGAAGGGGTCTCCTCAGTAGAAGACCTATCGGAGGAGCAGCTGGTGGAAGGAGAGAAGGAGCAAAGGCAGGATGCATCTGCTCCGATGGAAGGAAACATGGCGTCTGCTAATGTGCAGGATGGCGTGGGCGCGGGATCGCAGGAGTCCCTCCCCCCAGGGCAGCAACCCGTGGATTAGGGGACCCAAGTGGAGGAGGCGGAGTCAGCAGGAAAGCTCCAGTTTGTGTCAAGGGAAGTACCAGAGTTCCGTGAATCAGACTTCCGGTTCACGTCAGAAGACTCAGAGGAGGAAAGAGGAAGTGATGTCATTCCCAAGAAGCCGGCCAAGATGGCGGGGCAGGACAGCGCGGCGTACGTGAGGCTTGAGCGCATCCCTAAGGATGTGTTCGCCAAGGCTGGTAAACTGCCTGGTGATGGACCGGACTCTGCTATTCATGCGGGTGAGGTGACTTTAGGCGCTGGGGCAGCGGGCAACACCCCTAAGGGTGGGATGGTGACGCAGGTTGACGCAGTGGCCCGGGTGGATGAGGTTTCTTCCCCGGAAGTGGTCCCGCGGGCTCCGACCCCTTGGTGATTGGGCAAGCCCCTGCTAGGGGATCTGTTGGGCAAGTTCCTGTGTTGGGGGTCTCCAATCTTCAGGGTCAGGCCCCAGAAGGCCGAGTTCATGAGGTTTCTTTCCCTCCGGTTGGGGTTCCACAGTCTCGGGGTCCCGTGCCCTCTGTCTCAAATTCCCCTGCTCCTGGTGGTAGTGTGGGGGTCCCTTCAGTTCCGGCTCCCCCTGCAAGTGCCCCTGAGTCTGGTGCTGCTATAGGTTACTCAGCAGTGGTTAGGGGTACTGTGGGACCAATGGGGTCTGCCAGGGTGAGGGCGGGTAACTTACCCACCTATGTGGCTTGCCGCAACATGGTCCAAATAAAATGGACAGGGGAGGGCCCCCCTTGGGGAGGAGGGAAGTGGTAGACAGAATCCTGGAAATGGGTTTCAAAGGGAGTGAAATTTTTGCTTTTATAGCCCCTATGAGAACAGGGGAGTATGATGTCTCCTTTGTGAAGCCGGAACACCTGGATCTCTTTTGGCAGAGGTTTGAGGCTGCCTATATCTCTAGCCCCAGGTGGGCCCGCTTATCCCCCAAGCTTGTCGTTGGTAAAGAAAATAACTATACTGGTACGGAATGAATCTATCCCAGCAGCAGACATCCTGGTGTGGTTAGGCCGGTTTAGGGAGGTACTTGGGCCCTTGCATAAAGTGGTTGACGACAGGGGATTTGGACGGGTGGGTGGACTACCACCATCCGCCTGAAGGTGGAGGGTAATACTATACAGCACGTCCCATCTTCCGCCTTCCTGGGTAAAGACCGGCTGGTCATATTTTACGCGAGCCAACCCAGGGTATGCCACAGATGTGGGATGAAAGGGCACTTTGCTGCCACCTGCCCGGTACAGCGCTGCTGATTGTGCCAAGAAATTGGGCACCTGGCGAAGGACTGCACGGTCATACGATGCAATCTTTTGTGGAAAGGTGGGCCACTCGTACAACAGGTGCCCGGAGGCTTTGCACAATCTCCCTGACAGGGAGCTGATTGAGGAGTTTGACAGGATGGATGCAGAGGAGGCAAGTGAGGCGCTGGTTAAGAAGGCCACGGCGCTTGTGGCAACCCTTGCAGGGGAGGTCGGGTCTGCTGAGGCTGCAGCTGCCTCTGCCCC